ACTCTCCTCCATCACTCCCCCCCTACAACTCTCCTCCATCACTCCCCTCCACTCTCTGCAGCACCTGCCTTCTCCTCCTTGCAGGACTTTTGCAAAGGCTGCTCCTTCTGCCGGAAATGCTCTTCCCTCCCTGTGTCTCCCAGTTAACCCCAACTTATTTATTTTACATCTCAGCTAGAGTGTTCCCTCCTTAGAGAAGCACTCCTTGACACCCAGTGACCTGGTCAACCCCCACCAGGCAGCCTCTTACATGCCCCTCCCTTCTTTTCCCCAGCACGGTAAAGTGGTTGGCTTTCCTTTTGCTTGAGAGATGATGTGATTAAAGACTGTCAGCTCCATGCGGGTAGGAGTTATGCCTGCTTTTGCTCACCATTTCCCCCCTCACTATCCAGCTGGGAGCCTGGTGCATCAGCGTCCAATTACAAATCTGCTGACTGCTGTCCAGGGAGAGACCGCAGATAAGATATCAGGAAGGAAGCTGGCTCTGGAGACCTGGATTTTGGAGCCCTGCTTCCCGCAGAGGTGAGAGCTGAAGCAGCAGGGACAGGTGGTATACCAAGAGCAGAATGGAGCAGTGAGACAAGAGAAGGGCAGAGGCTCTTCCCTAGAACATCTGAGGCCAGGCCAGGACCCTTTGCCCATCCCCTGTCAATACCACAGGAGCCAGCCTGGGCCAGCATGGCTGGAGAGGCTCTTGTGGCCAACCACTCCCACTTGGGTCCATGGGGCTAAGGTAAGTGAAAACAAATGTCCCCTGGCTTTCCCCAGCCTGTGATGGGCCAGTAGCAGCCCCTCCCTCCCTAGCCTGAGCTCCCCTGCCCCTTTCAAGCTCCCCCTGGGTTCTTTCTCCTGGGACTGGTGGGGGCATGAATAGGCTTGAGAGATGTGGAAGGTGGGGGGCAGGTGGGCTCTGCGGGAAGCTGGGGCCTGGTGTAGGGGACTTTCTTATCCCTGCCTTGACTAAAGCTGGGAGCTTGCTCTGGAAAAGCACACCCTCCTGACTTCAGGTGGGTTGCGGGCTGGCGTGGGAGGAGAGCTGTCTGCACTGCAGAAGGAAGAGGAAAATAAGCCTCTCTCCTTGCTCTCTTCTTTTTCTTTCTCCATTCCCCCCTCTCTCTAAGGGGTTGGCCTTTCCTCTCTCTATTCTCCAGGGACCCAGAAACCCAAGGCTCTTAGGAATTCTCAAGGCATGTCACCTCCCTGAAGGAATAGGAGTTCCTGGGACAGATGGAGGGAAAGACAGATAGGAGTTCTGGGGACAGGAGGGAAGGAGGGAGGAAGAGGGTGAGGTTATTGGGAGGGGAAGGGTCACAGGCCCAAATTCCTGGGCTCCTGCAGCTTTAGCCATTCTGAGAAACGAAAAACAGAGAAAGTGATTTAGAGACAGACACAAATAGAGACCGAATTATGGACATGACAGTGATGTGAAAAGACGCACAGAAAGACAGCCAGAGAGAGTCTGCCCGAGACAGAGGGCTCTGCTTTCGCCCGCAGCGTTTCTGATGTTATCTATTTCCAGCTGCCTCTCCCCCCCTCAGCCGCCCCTACTCTGCCCCTCCTTCCTCCTCCACCCAAGTCTCTCCTTCCCTGTCTGTCTTTTGCACAGGGCCTAGACATAGTATTAATGGGTTCCCAGGATTTAAGATGGAGTGATGAAGGAAGGTGGGGTGGGCAGGGCCTAGAGCATAGGGATGGGGGACAGACTGTCACCTCCCCATTCATGCCACCCATTTCTGGGCTGCTGTCTTCCCACTCCAGTCTCTTGTGAACGTTCTTCGTGCGTATCTCTGCAGAGGTGGTATGTGTGTGTGTGTGTGTGTGTGTGTGTGTGTGTGTGTGTGTTGCAGTGGCATGTGTTTCAGCCTGAGCCAGCCCATCTGTGTGTCTGTCCATACCTGTGGGTAAAAAATCCCAGCATCGTCTGGGGGAGGTGAGGATGTCCTGTGGTTTCTGTGAGGTTATCTGGGGGCCGTGCCCAGTCGTTGGTGTGTGTGAGGGGGCGTGTGTGTCACATATCTCGATCTATCTTTGTGTGCCAAGATCTGTTACCTCCTGCCACCCCCTCTCCACCCCCTTTCCTTTGTAAGTCTTCTAAGGTGATAGCGGTGGGTTGAAGGCTTGGGAATATCTGAACTCATCTCTCTGAAGGTTTGGGGGCAAAACAACAGAAGTCATTGCTCCAGCTCTGCCCAGATGCCAGCCAGCCCCTTGATGGGGATGCGGAGGGGGCACAAGGGAGTGAGCAGAAGGATGCTTTTGGGGCAGAAGCCCTAGGAATTGGGAATTCAGGAGTCCTGCCTGTCTTAGATTTCCAGCCCACCTCCCCGCCCCGCCCCCCGCCCCCAACCCCACAATGCTCTGCAGGCACCACTGGGCCAACTGATTCTGGAATGGGACTATGTGGGGGAGGGACAAGGGCTTGGGGAGTCCAGAGATGGCAAAAGATTCTGCAAGATCTGGCCAGAGTGAGTGCTCCAGGAGGGGTGGGGCCAGCTGTGTATGTTTGCAGGAAAGGTGGGGGGTAGGGGCAGAAAGGCCGCCTGCGGGGGAGAAAGCTTCTTGGCAAACGCCCCAGTTTCCTGAGCTGATCCCTGCTCCCTGCCACTGCTCCCAATTCTGTTGTTTCAATAACATCATTTTTATCCACCCCACAGAGAGATTGTGTCTTAGGAAGGGGAGGCGAGGGGCAAGGCTAGGGCATGGGGGAGGGGTGGTAATGGAGCGAGGCTGGGGTCTGGAGGCAGCAGGGACTAGATTTGGGGCGCTCCCTCCCCAGGCAGAGGCAGGGCGGTCTCAGAGCACAGGTCCCCTGATGACAAAGACAAATACATTAAAATTCTTGCCTCGGAGAAGAATGCAGGATAGGGAGAGCATTTCATAATCTGCAATAACAGTAGCAGGGTGGGAGCAGGGCTGGGCAGGGGGTTCGGAACCCAGGCGGTCGCTCCCAGGAGGCTGGCCACTGGCCACCTGCAGCCTCCAGGGATCCCCCGAGCCCTCTAGCTGCCTATTTGGTACCACATGGCCAGAGTGTGCACCCATCCTGGGTATGTCTTTGCACGGGTAGTGTCCAGAGTTGGCATTGCCCTGTAGAAACTGTCCAGATTGGCATTGCCCCATAGAAACAGCACCTGTGTGCAAAGTTACTTAGATGCAGGGGCTGTTCGTGGCATTTGGATGCTGTTAAAAGCTAAAATGGGCAGTGCTTGGACCAGACCCTCTCTTTATGTTACTGGACATTGTCCCCCGTCCTGTTCCCCTTCTTTAGAGTGTCGTAGCCCCTTCATCAAAATTCTCTGTACCCAGTACAAGGGGTTGAGCTGACCCAGCCTGGACACCAGTGCCCTGATGTGGGGCTTGCTCACTGGGCAAGGCCAACACTTCTCCAGTTCTCTCACCTCTGTCTGCTTATTCCTTCTCTGACCTGCCTCCTCCCCTGGGACTGCCTCCCTTGGCCCCTTGGCCTCATCTTGATCTACTTGTCCCCCCTTCTGGGTGACTCAGGATCTTGTCTTCTCTCTCTGCTCACCAAGGTTGTTTGTCTCTCTTGGCAGTGATCTCAGTCCACAAGTTCAGGTCCCCTCTCTCCCAACAACCAGGAGCGTTCTTCTGGGCGCCTGACGTTTCTGCCATAGGAACTTGATCTGGATCAGGACAGCCTGAAAGGTTGATGGTTGCTCTTGATGGTAGTGGCAGGGAGAATGTCCCACACCACCTGTCGCTCGGCACCCCGGGGCACGTCGGGCACGTCGGGCGCAGGAGGAGCAGGGTCTGCTGCCCGCTGCCAGCCCCATGGCGTGATGAATGGAGCTGTCCCTCCGCCCCACAGGGCCTTTGATCTCCCCCCGTGGGGAGGGGGCCAGGGGCATCAAAGACATTTTTGTGGCATTAGAAAATCAGATAAACGCCATCTCATCTGCAGTTGGCTCTCCCACCCCTTCTACCTGGGCCAGGTTGGGGGAGGAACCGAGGCAGGGACCCGTGGACACGCGAGGCCCGGCTGCAGCGAATTTTGACTCCTCGATCTCTTGGAAGTCTGCGACCTCCATTCTCCCGCTTGCTTACACGTGCCAGCGCTTGTGCGCACGCCCTCGAGAGGCTCCTCTTGCCGCCTCATCTCCCCCACCTCCCCGGCCCCGAACGCGGGCTTGAGAGGTGGAACATCTGGGGAGCGAGGGCGGAGGCCCAGGGCTTCCTCCCTTCTTCAAGGAGAGGCAAAGGAAGGGGCGTGCAGCACCGAGAAGAGCCAGGGAAAGAGAAGACCCCTCTAGCATCCGCCTTTCGGGCGCTCCAGTTTGACAACCCTCGCCAGAGCACCCCGCGCCCGAGGCCAACTTCCTCTCTCGCCTCCGCACCAGCGTCTCCCTCTGCACCGCCCCCCGCCCCAAACTCCCTCATTCCTGGGAAGTTTTCTCTCTTTACAGTCAACAAACCTGTCAAACGTCTCCCTTCCAGCCCGTCCCCCATTCCTCAGCTCCTCTTTCTCCCCCCTTCACCCCTCTCTACTCTTCTTCCCCGCCCTTCCTTGCCCCCGACTCCCGGCAGCCGCGAGCGGCTGGGGGCTCGAAGTCTGGGAGAGGCGAGGTGAGGGGGCCAGGCGGGCGGGTCCCGCAGCACGGAGCGCGCTGGGGCCCCGCCCCGGCACCCCGCTCCCGCCCTCCGCTGCGCTCCGCTCCCGCCGCCCTGGGGCGCACGGCTCGCTCCCGAGAGTCCCGCCGCCTGACTGTCGCAACTGCCACCCCCCTCCGGCCCCCTGCCCCCCGCCCCCCCCTCGGCCCCGCTCCCCTCCCACCCCCGCCCCCGGCTCTGATTTCTTCTCCCGAGCGAGCTCCGCAGGAGACACAGGCGCGGGCTGCCCCGTCCGCTCTCCGCCTCCGCCGCGCCCTCCTCGCCCGGGATGGGCCCCCGCTCAGCCGCCGGAGCCCTCGCCTCCCGGCCGCTGCCGTCGCGCTCCCCGCGCTCGCCCTGAAGCCCTGGCCCTCGCGCGCAGCAGTCGCCCTGTAGCCTCGTCCACTGCCCACACCCGCGGCCCTAGGGCTGTCACGATGCTGCCTCCCTTGCGCTCCAGCCTAGGGCTGCTGCTGCTGCTGCTCCTGTGCCCGACGCACGTCGGCGGACTGTGGTGGTGAGTCCGGCTGTCCTGCCTCTGGACGCCGGAGGGTGGGGACCCCGGGAGCCGGGACCGATTGGGGTATTCCGCAGCCTCCGGACTCTACTTGCTCTCGGAGCCCAGCTTTCTAGCCTCGGCCAGGGGCATTTCCGATCCCTTCTTCGACGTGCCTAACCCCTGGGCACATTCTATTGTGTTTCCTCTTCCCAGGTTCTCCCCAGCCCCCTCCAAGTTATTCGCTCACCCAGGTCACCAAGGAATAGGTCTGTGGGTAGGAAAGAGCTCTCAGGGAGACACATATTCGAGGAAAAGAATGTGTGAGGAGGGTCCTGGGTTCAGGGTAGGGGGTTGGATTCGGGAAAGACAAGAACAAGGTGGGAAGCCACAAGGCAGAGAGGGCCACATAGCTGCCCCTTCCCCGCCCCATTTTGCCTACCAACCCACCAACTTCTCTCCGGGCTCCTGTGGAGTGGGCCATAATGGCAAGAAAGGGAATATAAAGGGGAAACTGAGTCAGGACCCTGGCTTTCTCTACTTCGTCCTCCCCGAGCAAGGAAAAGGAGGAGAAGAAGAAACGGGACCCAGGGGTCAGGCCCTTCCAGACGTAGGGGTCATGAATGAAAAAAAAATGTGCAGTCGGGGAGATACCATACTGGGAGGGTCCTGCGGGAAAGGAGAGGGGCCTGGCCAGCCAAGGGAGGGGGTATCTTCCCAGGCCTGGCCCAAGCTAGAATGGACACCTAGGCAGCGAAGGTTGCGAGAACTTCGAGCCTTGGGGGCGGGGAAGAAGAGCGCCCGGCCGGGATGGCTCAGAGAGCCAGATCCAGAAGACTTTTTTTTTCCCTTCTTACTCTTCAGAGCCGCAAACCCTCTCCCGGAATAGCTCTGTGTTTAGAGAGGAGATACTTGGACAATAGCGTTGACAAACCAGCCAATCCTAAGAAGGCAGGGTCCTGTCTATTTGCATATTGCCACGTGATTGGCTGGATGCCGACCCTCCGCTCCTCCCCCGGCCCCCGGATTTGGAAGAGAGGCAGATCCCCGTGCTCAGGAGATAGGGAGTAGAATGCCCACACAGCGAGCAGAGAGCTGCAATCCTCCCTCTGCGATGCGGAGAGCAGTCCCACGCGAGTGTCACGGAGGGGGCGAACCGAGGACGATCCAGGTCCCATCTAGGGAACATACGGCCCTTGATCTGGCTTAGTAGAATGCAGTGGCAGCTTTGAAGCAGACAGATCTAAGATCTAAACATTACGTTTGTGATCTTGGGCTAGTCACTTCCCCTCCCTACCTCTCAGTCTTAACTGGAGATAGGATAACAGTCTCCCTGCCTGGCAGCCTTGCTGGGAAGGTGAGGTGGGAGGACGTGTAGAATGATAGGACCTTAGAAGGTACTCGTTATGTGCAGTGCCCTCCTCACAGCCCAGCTTCTCCTGGCCAGGTCCCGGGGAGTGAAAGGGGATTCATTTAAATTTAAAATCCATGGTTCCAAGGAAAATGCTGTAAAGGAATCTCTTTTCCCCATAAATGCCTTTCCTAACTTTGTCCTTTTTCAAGGTGTGGAGATGGGGTCCCTCTCTGATGGCCATGGTCTTCCCTCCTCTCCCTCCCCCTCTGTCTAAATTGTTCTTATCCTTACAGTTAAAATATCACTACCTCCCTGAAACTGCACCCTTGTCCTTCCATTGCCTTGTCTATGCTCCCACTGTATCCCATACATTGGGCAACTATGCTAGTTACTGCATTTACCTGACAAGAGTCTTTTGGGTCTCTCTTCCCTGCTCCACAGAGCCCTTGTCTTTAGGAGCCCTGAGGCCTAGGACAGTGTTGGTGCTGGAGATGTGTTTGTGGAGTATCACTGGACTGGCTGATTCACCTTTCTGGGCTCTGTATCTGTGGGGGTTCCTTTGTTCAGGAGGGACTGCTGGGTGGCAGCCAAGCCAAAGGAGAGCGGCCTGGTCCCTGAGAGACTGACTCTGAAGCTGTGAAGAAGGGAGTGGGGGAGGAGGTGACACGGGCAAGTGTGGGAGAACACAGGGGCCTTCATGGCCACAGCTGCAGGGCGTGCCAGGTGAAGAGTGAGGGGCCCCAGTGATAAGGTGTCTGACTGCCTTGCTTAGATGTGCCTCAGAGGGAATGGGCCTCTCCTACCTGCCTGGGCCCCTTCACTCTCCTTTATCCTTTTGTTTTTCTTTTTTTAAATTTTTAATTAATTAGTTAATTTATTTATTTTGAGACAGAGTCTTGCTCTGTCGCCGAGGTTAGAGTGCAGTGGTGTGATCTTGGCCTACTTGAAACTCCCCAGTTCAAGCGATTCTCCTGCCTCAGCTTCCTGAGTAGCTGGGATTACAGGCACCCACCACCAAGCCTGGCTAGTTTTTGTATATTTAGTAGAGATGGGGTTTCACCAAGTTGGTTAGGCAGGTCTCAAACTCCTGACATCAAGCGATCTGCCCACCTTGGCCTCCCAGAGTGCTGGACTTACAGGCGTGAGCCACTGCACCTGGCTACCTATTGCTGACACTTCATCTCTTTGGTCTGAGCCCAGACCCCCTTCCCCTGGATCTTTGACTCTGCCTACACTCCTGACCCCTCCTCACCCCACCAGTGCCCTCCAAGGTCAAGTCTGGGCTGATGGGCTGGACTAATAATTCTCACTGGCCTGAGGCTCTTCCATGTCCCCAGAGCCCAAGTCTCACTTCAGCTGGCAGCTTTTCCAGCAGGGGCTTCCAGGCTGTTCCCCAATGCCCAGGACCTGCTTTCGCTGGCCCTCTTCTCCCTATTTGTCAGAGAATCCTGGCCAGGTCAGAGCTCCAGTGCTGGCCAGGAAAAGCAGCTGCAGCAGCCTCCTGCAGCCGACTCTGACATTCTAGCAGCAGCCAGGCTGGAAGGAGAGAGGAACCCAGGACCTCTGAGTGACTCAACTGTCTTGGTCAGGAAAAGGGAGTCCTGCAGGGGTGTGGCCCATGATCCAGAATTGGCCCACAGACCTGGCTCCAGGTTCCTGAGAAGTTTCCCTCCCACCTTCTTTTTTACTCTCCCTCCTTACTCCAGTGAGATGCATGTTTTCTAAAACTCTGCCTCCAGGCCAGGCATGGAGGCTCACTCCTGAAATCCCAGCACTTTGGGAGGCTGAGGAGGGCAGATCACTTGAGGTCAGGAGTTTGAGACCGGTCTGGCCAACATAGTGAAACCCTGCCTCTACTAAAAATACAAAAATTAGCTGGGCGTGATGACGGCTGCCTGTAATCCCAGCTACTTGGGAGGCTGAGGCAGGAGAATCGCTTGAACCTGGGAGGCGGAGGTTGCAGTGGGCTAAGATCCATGCCACTGTACTCCAGTCTGGACAACAGAGCAAGACTCTGTCTCAATAAATAAATACATAAATAAGTAAGTAAATAAATAAATACTCTGCCTCCAGCCTCTCTTTCTCCAATCTGTAATCATATCTGTGAATTACAGAATCCCAGATTCCAGGACACTGGCCAGGCTCTCTGGATGTCATCTTGTCTGGCCTCATTGCATCCAGGCCATCCAGCCTATGCTGTGGCCCTGGCAGACCTTGTCTTGGGAGTAAGACAGAGAGAGAGAGCCTCCCAGTCACCAGTTAACCACTTCCACTTTGCTCCCTGCTCCAGTCTTGCCCACCCCCAGGAAGTTCTTTACAACATCTGACCCATCGTTATTTATACCTCCAATCAGTGGATGTAGAAAATAGCTCACTCTCATAGAACGGTCAAATCCTCTTTCCTCTGTTTTATGTTTTCTTTCTTTCTTTCTTTCTTTTTTTTTTTTTTGAGGCAGAGTCTTGCTCCTTGCTCTGTTACCCAGACTGAGTGTAGTGGCACAATCTCAGCTCGCTGCAGCCTCCACTTCCCAGGTTCAAGTGATTCTCCTGCCTCAGCCCCCCAAGTAGCTGGGATTACTGGTGGCTACCACCACGTCCAGCTAATTATTTTTAGTATTTTTAGTAGAGATGAGGTTTCACCATGTTGGCCAGGCTGATCTCGAACTCCTGACCTAATGTGATCCGCCTGTCTCAGCCTCCCAAAGTGCTAGGATAACAGGTGTGAGCCACCATGGCCCGCCCTGTTTTATATTTTCTATGAAAGAAACTAAGCCTCTCCTTGTTCCACTAGGGAAAATACCACCCAGTGTCACTCCCTTCCCCCATTCCATCTAGTCTTTCATCCACCACCCTCCTGGAAAAGGAAACAGGAGCCAGAGGCCTAGTGCCTCATCTGTCCCCACAGGGAGGCAGGAAAGGACTCAGGCTTCTTCGTGACACTCAGCTTTCCTAGCTGCCACCACCACCCCAGGCTGTGCCCTTTCCCATCCTGTCTTTATCTAGGGTCCTGACCCATTGTGGGCAGTCCTGTTGCTGGCCTCTGCTGAGTTCCAGGGTGGGGTGGGGAAGGGGGTGGGTTGGCCATCCTTCCCTCCCTCCAGGCCTCCCGCCTTGGCAGCTTCCCCTGGAGGGAGACAATGGGGCTGTGAGCAGAAAAGGGCAGGGGCAGAAGGAGGCTGGCCCAATCCAGGCCAGAGCATGCCCTGAGCCCACCAGAGTTCTGGCACTGAGACATTTCCTGGGGGGTGCAGCCCCTCCTGCCCTGTTCTCATCAGAAGCCAGGAGTTGGTGCGGAGAGGTCAGCGGGAGGCTTGCTCACCAGGCCCAGCAAGGGGGGTTCCAGAATGTGCACTATAATAGAGAAGTACCACTGTGGAGGGGATGAGTGAGGGCAGGGCGGTCAGGCTGGCAGAAGGGTGGCCGGAGGCACTCGGAACACAGACGTCTGTCCTTTGTGGGTCGGTGAAAGCACCCCCAGCCTGCACCCTCCTTCCTGCCTGGGCCGGGAATCCTCTCGGGTGCTTCCCCAGAACTGCCGGAGGAGGAGCTAAGGGAGAGAAAGGCCTCTGGGAGGCTTCTCCACCTTGGCCTCTCGGGCTGGTTCCTCCAGCTACAAGCCTTCGGTTTAATCTAGAAAGTAGATCTAGTTAGTGTCCGGGTGCCTGTA